CGCCAGTAGGTAGCAAGTCTAAGTGAGTCATTGCGATTGAACCGAATCATTTAAACGGTTGATTAATTCAGAAACAAAACAACGTCATGTTGCTCAGAGACACAAAACAGTGTTGTGGCTGTGTTTGGAATGTTTTTTGTTGGCGAAATAGCACAGAAATAGCGCAAAAACAGCCAATATGGTGTCTAAAACGTAAGTCTCTAGATATTAACTTATTGTTTATTGAACTGTTGTATAAAATAAATATCACATTTGTAACCATGCTGATTTTTTAAGAAAAAACGGCACTCTTCGTGTGATATTGATTAACTATATGAACTGATATAAATATATACATTTTCTGCCTCCTTATCTTGAAGTATGTGATCATTGTTAATGCATATTAATAGACTGAATCATGCAGCGAAAGAGCGCACTATAATAGCGCACGTGCACTAAATCCTGTGTTGGTCTAACCAGACTTCATCTCGTCGCGTATGCGTGCCTCTGTAGGTGTGTTTGGTTTAGCTTTTGCAATATAATCGATAATGTCATGATGTCTCACGAGTTCAGTATTTGCGCTAAACCTGCGCAGATTTGGCTTGCATGAACTTCCGAGAGAAATTAATGAGTGAACATAACTTACGAAAAGTAACCCGCCAAATTGGTTAGTGATTTGACAGCGTTACCCACCACAGCTGATTTTTACCCGCATTTGGCGGGTTGGCGGGTGTTAATTTCAAACCCTGATTGTGTCTCTTCAGAAGACTAGAATCAAATCACTCTATTCATATGGATTATTTTTATGATCTCATTATGAACTTTTTGAATCTTCAAAGTTGTGGAATGAACTGTCAATGAGGGGACAGAAATTTCTCAGGTTCCATTAAAAATACCTTAATTTTTGTTTAGAATATGAATAAGTCATAAAGGTTGATGAATGACATAAGGGTGAGTAAATGCTTTAAATTATATTATATTAAAATTTTTATCCCTTTAAAGTCATGTACATGAATTAACTCTAGAATTAATGCACAGATTAATGAATACACAGTTCTAAAATATTTAATTGGGTACAAATGGCTCTTTCTGAGTGCAGTCTTTGTAAAGATGTTAAGAATCCTTATCCAGTAGACACAAACAACTGGAAAATTCATGGAAATTCATTGGTCAAAAGAGCACCGGTAACCCTGGATTTAGGTTGTTTTAGATGGTTTAATCCTTGTGTTCAGGTGTTTGTTCTGGTGAACATCCTGTGTCCTGTCACACATCAACACACACATACTTTGATTCTTCCTGTGGTTATTGTAGTGTCAAAGCATCATGTGGATAAGTGTTTTAGCTTTTATTGTGCAAACATTAGCATGTTGGAGCTCAGCAATGACAGCAATGCTTATCATTTTAACAACTGTGTGTCTCTTAATTCAGTAGTTCTATATTTAAAGGGGTCATATGATGCGATTTCAATTTTTCCTTTCTCTTTGGAGTGTTACAAGCTCTTGGTGCATAAAGAAGATCTGTAAAGTTGCAAAGACTAAAGTCTCAAATCCAAAGAGATATTCTTTATAAAAGTTAAGAGTCAACCACGCCTACCTAAAACGGCTCGTTCTAACACGCCCCCACAAGTTTACGTCACGATGGGGGAAGATTTGCATAAAGCCGCCCAAATGTGCACACAAAGAAAGAAGGCGTAACTTTTATTCTCGCTGTAGTAGCCTATTGTTGTTGCCGGGGCCGCCATGTCGTGAAGGCGCTGTGTGTTTCGTCACAGCACACCTCGCTTTTCAGACCGGTGAGCTTTGTAAAAATCGAAGCGTATTTCAGAAAGGCGGGGCATAGAGGAGAAACAATGTACAGTATGTGGAAAATGTGTTTTTTGAACCTTAAACCACAAACACATTTCATTACACCAAATAATGCATCATATGACCCCTTTAAATTATTTAAAACAATGTCACAGTGCTGATGTAAGTGATAATGAACCAGTTTTATTTGTGTTTTCACTACTTGTACACTTGTTTCATGGTTATCCTTTTGCTGTTGGGTTTAAAACTGTATTGTAATATTTTCTTTAACTTTGTGAAGACGTTATGATATACCCTGAATAGAGACTTGTTTGTTGTATTTGTTGATTGTTGTACCCGTGATGCAGATTCTAGTGTCCTCTAACACATACCAGTGTGGTTATTTAGGGGTGCATGTAAACACAGCTGCATTTCATATGATCTGCCAGCTTCTTTAGAATTTAATCATGTTATTGGACCAGTGTAGAGTACAGTACAGATACCACGCGCACACACACACTTTCAAAGTGTCTACTTCAGTGTGACGTGTCTTCACTCAAACGGATCTTTACACACAACAGACACGTACACTCATTTATGGTTTATGATACAGTTCAACCTTTGTTCTCCACTGTTTGCTTGTTTCTTCCGCTGATTTGTGGAGCTTCCACACCGCTTGAAGGAAACTGGCTACAGTGTCCCGAATCATATGATTCTCCTCCGCGTCCTGCTACAGCCTTTGCCCTTCACCTATAAATAATCATGTCTGTGGACTTTTACTGGGACTGTCTAAAGTTGCACAACCTCTCTTGCATAAGCCAGCAAGATGAACACGCACTATATTCCCCTCGCTCTACATCTGTGACATTTTAGCCAAGCCTAAAAATATAGGTTTGGATAAGTCTAGCAGTCAAGGTTGGGATGATTAAAATATATATTTTTAATCACATTCAAGTAGTTTGAATTTTACTACAATACAAAAAAGTTTGTATCTTATATAAAACCCAAACAATATATTGTGTCGACATTTGTATGTGCAATTGTTTGTTTATTCGTATAATCAAATCAATCCCTTTCTTATTCCTTTTCTCTTTTCCTATCTGTAGGATCGAGAGCTACTCGTGCAAGATGGCTGGTGATGACAAGCACATGTTTAAGCAGTTCTGTCAGGAGGGGGAGCCCCATGTTCTGGAAGCGCTGTCACCCCCTCAGTCCAGCAGTGCTCCGAGCCCTAACCTGTAAGCCTTAACACATAACCATAGGCTTCACCTCAGCTATTGTGGTTACACTACACCAGGGTTCCTCAAATCTTGACCTGGAGGGCCAGAGTTTAGCTCCAACCCTGATCAAACTCACCTACCTGAGATTTTCTAATGATCCTGAAGACATTGATTAGCATGCTCAGGTGTGTTTGATTAGGGTTAGAGCTAAACTCTGCAGGAAAGTGGATCTCGTGGGCCAGATTTGAGGATCCCTGCACTACACAATCTCTCTTGTGGGCTTTCTTTTAGATTGGGGAAGAGTGGGGAGGACGGAGAGAACCCACTAAGTGATAAGTGTTGCAGGAAGACCTTGTTCTACCTTATCACTACCCTGAATGAGTCGTTCCGGCCTGATTATGATTTTAGTGCTGCCCGTGCCCATGAGTTCAGCCGAGAGCCCAGTGTTAACTGGGTTAGTATGACTGGTTTCCATTGAATCATGAAAACATATCTGCTGCGTTAAGAACTTATGTAATGTTATATTATTAAATGTCAGGTGCAAAGGTTTTTAGATACACTGTCAAGAATTGTTGAGAAAAGTAAAAAATTCAAGGCAACATTATGCATTCAGAGTTTTAAAGAGGTCATGAACTGCCTTTTTTTTATTTTGTACTACTCTGAGGTCTACTTATAATGTTATCAAGATTTTTACATCAAAAAACATAATATTTTAGCAGTAATAGGTAGGGATGTAACGATTCACCGCAAGCCGGTTGAAAATCGATGCAAATATGTGACTGTTCAAATCGGTTGAGATGTTAAATGAATCGCGATATAGTTGGGGGTGGGAGTTTATATGAATGTAAGGGGAACTGACTGTCTTTAGAAAATTTTAGATATTTTCTTTTCATCTCGTCTCTGTATAATTCATAAGCGCAGCGCTGCTTTGTTTACAGCGGTAACCAAGGAAACGCTGTATCATTGCTGTGATGATCATGAGCGCCACCTGCTCTCAGTGAGTGAATCTGCATCTCATTCAGCTCGTCTGCTGTTTCTGTTTTGGGCAGATGTTTTATGTAATATAGTTTCACAAAACTAAAGTCAGAGCATTCTGTTTTTGTTTTCAGTTTTCAAATTATACAATCTGATTTATATTTAAAAACTGCTCATGCTGCATGTATTCAGCATCTTTGTTCACAAAAGGTCAGCATGGTGATCAACAAGCTTGTGTTATGTAGGGTGACCATAAATCCTCTTTTTCCCGGACATGTCCTCTTTTTGTACCTTAAAAAATGCATCCGGCCGGGATTTCTAAATCGCCCAAAATGTCCGGGATTCGGCTTTTGCTTTCTACAGACGCCATTCATAGTATGCGTTTTTGTTTTGGAGCCCTGCGAGGACTGTAGGCGGGCCTACTCCTGCAAACATTCTAATATTACATATAATTTTCGCGCATCAGGAGGCCGCTATCAATATGCGGAGAATAATGTTCTCATTTGGATGAGCGCTCTGTTCACTTTCGATTTCACGATCAAGTCAAGTCAAGTCAAGTTTATTTGTACAGCGCTTTTCACGATACAAATCATTGCAAAGCAACTGTACAGCAAATTAATTTTCTACAATATTTATTGTTAGCTTATCAGTTGTGAC